GTGTGAGCCGGCTGCAAGCACTCACAAAGACATCGTGAACCGCACGGGGGGGATGCCTGACGCTGAGAAAGCTTTCAATTTGGATTCAGAAGGATCCAGCATGCACTTGTCATAAGCAAGTTGGGACATGAGCCACAGTTTAAGCTCCTTAAAGGGGATTATAGAGGAGAGTATTGTATGGGTTATTAAAGGGGATACTAGGAGTTTAGACACTGCCTCACATGCTTTGTTACAAGCACATTCCTTGCTCAGCTGTTACAATTCTGTGCTACATTGCCTCCCTTGAAGGTCTCACTGTCGTCTACGTCCATCTCGTACCGCAGGTGCATCCGACTCGTGCATGTGTTCCTGGAGTTTAATCGGGCTGTTTAGCACTGGCTGTCGGTCAATTTCAGGCACTCTTTCTGGATCGTCGTGTTTCTGATTTGTTCTTCCAATTTTCACGCAAGTGTTGCTTGCGGTGGATGCGCAGACGTCATGCGACAAACAAATTGCTGCGGAAAAAATGTGTTAAGAGCCGCATGACGCGCTGGATGATGTGGATGCATCATTAGGGATCCCTTTGCGGTGATCCCCATCATAATGATAATATCCTATGGGGGTAGAAAATTCGGGTTCCCCTTTATGGCCATGAGGAGGGACTCCTTGAAGGGACCCCTAATGCCATTTCCTTCTATAACCTTAAACCCTAAATCCAAAATTTTAGTCTCCATTTTCTTTTCCATTACACCAATATTTGAAATAGGCAAATCGTCCGGAAGATTATGGTTCCCTTCTTCTACTAGCCCCGTGCAACTTAAATCTGGTGAGCAAGGAATGAAGGAGTGGAGCCTTATAGCACAGCCACTATACCATCCCCAATACTGATAGTAGTTACTAGTTTACATTTTCTTTTTCATTCCTCCATTCAACCTGCTAACCAGAGGTAGCTAGTATATAAACTGCAGAAACCACGGCTTGCATTTCCTTTTACATTCTCTTCTCCATTTGATTTTTCATTCCTGGGGTAATATCCTTAAACCCTACACTCCAAACCCTAAACCCTGAACCTTAATCCTTAAACCCTAAACCTTAAGCCCTAAACCCTAATCCCTAAACCCTAAACGTTCTGCCAGCCCAATGCAACGGCCATGCAGCGTTTAGCTCAGAAATCCCAAAGCGGGCGGCGGCGCCCGCGAGACCTGAGCGTCAGGCAGGTCTGCGAAGTGAAGTCTAGGGTCTAGGGTTTTGGGTTTAGGTTTTGGGCTACTCCTACCGCCACTACTCCCACTCCTACCCAGAATAGTAACAATAATTGCGGTTAAAAATGCAACAGTTCTAATATTCATACCATTGGCGTGCCCTTCGTGTGTGTGCAGGTCATGTCCGTGAAATCCATCAGGGAGCAAGACGGAAAGGCGGATGACATACCTTTGCATGTCAACACTGTACTGTTGCCGACTTGACAGCTTAGGGCTACCCGGTGTGGTTGGAGCGAAGGGGGGCTCTTCTCAGCACACTGGCGTCATAAGCGGCTCACCCCTAAGTCGCCGCGACCCTAAAGCCTAAACCCAAAGCCCAAAATCCTAAACCCAAGACCCTCTTTCCCCGCAGCCTGGAAACTTCTGGTCTCAGGCGCTGCTCAAGCGCTGGCTCCCCGAGTGCTCCAGAGCCGACCGCAAGATGAGCTCCTGTAAAACTTCTCTGGTGATAATAGGAATTAGTAGTAATAATGATAGTAAGAATAGTTGCAATCCTGATAGTAATAATAGTAGTAGTAGTAGTAAACAATAATAATGATAGTAATGTTAGTAATAAGTATAGTGATGATAGTAATATTCGCTTCCCTTGCAGCGGATCTGTGCATACACTTCGGGCTTTGACTGTAAGAGCACGGAACCCTAAAAGGGTTCTGAATTGAAAAAGCTGGCAGGTATTCCAACAATTCTTTTGGTCTGGACAATGCTGGTTGCCTGGTCACTCCGGGGGTACTGACCTCAGACATTTCTGCTTAGATGCTCTTTCCTTTCCTGCATCCAGGATTAGCAAGGGGCTGCAGATTGAATGAGACAGTTAAGCTTCCTGTGCAAAATCTAGCCTGATGCATACTCCAACATTGCGATCGTATCGTTGTGTCGACGTTGACCCCAAGCCTGGAACTGAATCAAATAATAAAAGAGGCTGCAGATCCAGAATGCAGCATGAGCGTTGAACTGGGATTGCAAGTTGTCGCTAATTATGCATTCGGCCGCTGGTTGATTCATAGGTCATGTTTGGAATGGGCAATTGGAAGAGGTGATGTGCCTAAGACCTCTTTTTTGGAGTCTTGTTCCGTCACGTTTAATTCCTGCAGATTGCCAATTACACATGAGCTATAGTCTAAACCGCTAGAATCCCCCTTAATAGCCCCGAATATAATCCCGTGTATCACCCCCTTTAAGGAGCTTAGTCCCTAAACCCTGAACCCTATACTATATATTTAGATTCTCTATTTCATCCCCTATATAAGCCCCCTTTAAGGGGCTTAGACTATAGCTCACATGAAGTCGACATCTAAGGTATTAGACAGCGCCAAGGGTGACGATTGGAACGTCATCCTGGAGAAGCCCCTTGCTGCATTGGGGTTTAGGGTTTAGGGCCTCTGATCTGGGCGCTCGGGCCCTCAGCCCTTTCAGCGAGATTCTAGGGACCCGTAAGGGTACATATAGGGTATATAATAGGTATATAAGGATCCCAGTTAAGGGCCCATACTGGAGGCCCATGGTTGCAACATCACGTGCTGAAATTACAGGGAGCGGCCGTATTCGGGGGATTGTATCTTCTTTTTCCCCTACAAAACCCACAGTAGGCAAATCAGAGTCACTCATATAATAGCCCCTATAATATAAGCCATATGTACTACAGATTAAACTCCTTAAAGGGGGGTATATAGGGGATTATATGGGGGACTACTACAGGGGCGACTACGGGGGGATACTAGGAGTTTAGACTATAGCTCATATAAATCATATAAACCCTATATAATCCCAGTTTCCATTTCATTTTCCATTTTCTTTTCCATTTGCTTCTCCATTTTGGGGGGTAATATTAGACTATATAACTACATGACATAAACCCTCAACCCAAACCCTAAACCCTAAACCCTAAACCCTTAACTATATATATATATATAGCCCCTATATATAATATTAGTATAATGACTCCAAGGATCCCAATTCTTAAGCCTACTTTCTCATCAAAGCGGGCTGATGTGAGGAGGAACAACTACACAGCCGCCTCAAGCCTCCTGTCAGAAGACAACTCCATGGCCTGTTCGGAAAGGGGAGCTCACATGTCCTCAAGCCAAGGCTCCAAGGACTAGCAGTTCTGGCACAAACTCAGAAACCTCCTAATCACCCCTAAACACTAATCAGCCCTAAACCCTAAACCCTAGTCAGCCCTAAACCCTAAAGCTTAAACCCTAATCAGCCCTAATCCCTAAACCCTACTCAGCCCTAATCCCTAAATCCTAATCACCCCTAATCCCTAAACCCTGAACCCTTAACCCTAATCACCCCTAAACCCTGAACCCTAAACCCTAAAATCCTAATCACCCCTAAACCCTAATCCCTAAGTCCTAATCACCCCTAAACCCTAAACCCCTCAACCCTAATCCCTGAACCCCACACCCTAATCAGGAACCCTTGGCTGAAGACCGAGAAGCTGGTAGCTAAGCCGGATCAGATGATCGGTGGCCGTGGCAAAGCCGGGCTGATTGCCGTGAACAAGAGCTTCGATGACGTCAAGGTGGGCTAGGGGTTTAGGGGTTTAGGGGTTTAAGGGATTAGGGTTTAGTGATTTAGGTGGGCTAAGGGTTTAGGGGTTTAGGGTTTGGGGGTTTAAGGGTTTAGGATAGTGATTTAGGCGGGCTAGAGGTTTTAAAGGGGTTTAGGGTTTAGGGGTTTAAGGGTTGAGGGCTGAGGGATTTAGACCTTCAAGTCAGGGTGGGCTAGGCGGTTTACCGGTGTAGGGGCTCCGTTGGAGGGTCCGGGAGACATAGTAAGTAGGTTAATAGTGGGGATAATTGGGGTTATTGTATGGCCTAATTTAGGGGTTGTAAGTATATGAGTGAGTCACTTTTGCTTACTGAGAGTTGGTAGAGTACAGGCATAAGATCCCTATATGATCACTATATAATAGATTCCCTTACTCCCCACTCCCCCCGAGTAAGTTTGAGGGTCTTGCCTTTAGGCTGTGGGTTGAGACTATCTTGGCCTCCCCCCCCCGTACAGGCGTGGATTATGGAGCGGATGTGCAAGGACTGCATGCGCTTGCAGAGCTCACAGAGTTTCTGTTTCTAGCAGACTTTTCATCTATTCTGCAAGAACCATCACGCCCCTTGTGCCTCCGGAACACCCTCTATGGTCACCATCATACACCTCTGCTGGAGGATAGCACAGTGGGCGGCATCACAGGGCAGCTTACCCACTTCTTGTGCCTGGGCATAAAATCTTAAGCCAAATTTTACTGAAACCTCCCAGCTGGTCATTAGAAGTATCTGAAAAGGAAGTAGCAGACCTACGAAGGCTACTACCAGTATTGCTACTGTGCAGGTACTTACAAAATCCATTTCTAGTGTTGAAGTGACTCCGCCCAGGATTGAGCCTTTCGTGCCTCATGCACAGTCTGAAGAGGCCTGGCAGGGTCACGCGAAAAGGAATAGGCACGTGAAGCAGATAGAATTGGGAAGGAGGTGGCGCTACACATTCCACACTCCATATTTGTTCAGATGAAGGAGGACGATTCCATAGAGAGTCGAGATATTAGCATATTACCTAACTCTAAAGAGAGGGAAGACGGTGGCCTCCGCTTCGGCCATGCACCTGGCAGTCATCGTTTTAGAGCTGGATAGTGGTCGTGGGGTCCCCTGCTGCAACAGGTTTGCCTCGTGGGACTATTCAGAAGTGCTTCCAGCACTTATGTCCTCAGCCCTCTTGAAGACTCTGCTATGTTGCCTTGTTTTTTGGGAGGTCTACGTCTGCATGCAGTCGCACAGGTACAAGGCGACGGTCTGATTTGGAACAGATTATCTTGGAAGCTCCCTGTCCTGTTCTGAACAGTTACCGCAATCAATGCAATATCAATGCTACATCTGCACAGCTGCGCAAACTAATGGCAGAGAGTTGTCTGCCGTGCACGTGGCCAGGATGAGATCTTCTTCTACCATGAGGGCGGTGTGGATGTTGGTGACGTGGATGCCAAGGTAGCTGGTTTGTGTGCGAAGACCCTGAGTGCTTGAAGACATTCGTTGTCGTAAGGTGTGACACCCCGCAGGATATATATATATATATGGCCCAAGGTATGAGGTCTCTTTGGGAACGCAATTAGAACAGGGCTTTCGGCATTCTTTCTGAGAGCTGCTGCCGGAGGCCTCGCGGCTTTCCATCCCCACAGGCTGCGAGGCGGGGCTTCCACGAACCACGTAATTAAATGACGTTGCTTTGCGAGGTATCTTACGCGCATGCAGCGCACAAGATTGTCAATGATGCAGGCTTTCAATCACAAAGCCAAAGCTGCGAAAGGTGTCGGAGGACATGATTCGCAGCGAGCTCCTTGACAAGGCTGTGGGAAGCATTTGAGGATGACTGTAATGACGTGGAGGTACGTGGTGGTGCAGAGTTTGTACGTAATGCTGCCAGCTTTTGCTTCAACATGCCCGAAATCTTTCCAAAAGCTGCAGTCTTGGCATTGTTGGCTCCAAATTTCTCTGCCAACCCAATTTCAGACCCTGTGCAAGGATGCATGCTTTGTTTTGCATGGAACCCTAAACCCCTAAACCCCTAAACCCTAAGCCCCGAACCGCTAACCCCCTGACCCCCTAAACCCCTAAACCCCTAAACCCCTAAACCCTACACCGGGAAGGTGGAGCCTGCGAAGAGTGCCACGCTTGCGCGTTTCATCAAGGCCTTCCCTCAGCTTGGAAATTACCATGGGAGGGTTTAAGGTTTAGGGGTTTAGGATTTAGGGTTTTGGGGTCTAGGGTTTGCAATTCATCACGGAAAAGACAACGGAAGCCATATGAGACATAATCTAAACTCCTTTGGGGGGTCGCGGACTGGTATAAAGATACTAGGAGTGTAGACCATGGCTCATACTCATTCAGGTTTCTATGTCTTTGTTACCATCCGTAAAGCAAAGCACAGACAAGCTCAATTTTGCTCTGCTGAGCACCTGGCTTCAAGGACAGGGCCTGGCTTCATGTCGAGCAAGCGTCTGAAATCTGACAGATCGGTTTTCATATTATTTCTGTTAGTATCATTACTATTGTTATACTTGCCGTACCCTAGACGCTAAACCCTAAAGCCAAAGCCCTAAACCCTCAGACCTAGATCTGGCTTGGCCCCTGCGTCTCAAGTGAAGTTCCTTGATGGCCCGGTAGAAGGACCTTTTTTTGTACATGTGAGCTGTACACTGTAATCTAAATTCCTTACAAGGGGATTGTATAGGGGATTATATTCCGGAGTATTATAGGGGTTATTAAGGAGATACGAGGGGTTTAGACAATGGCTTGTGCGTGAAACTGTTTACTGCTACCTTGACAGGCCCTGTTTGCTTTCTACCGGGACCTTCACTTCGCATACCTGGAGATCAACCCAATCGCGTTGCTCGCGAACAACAAGGCCAGCGGAGATGGTTTCGGGGAGTGGCAGCTTTTGGGTGTTTCTTGCTTCAGAGCTTTGGGGTTTGGCTAGAGTTGAGGGTTTAGAACCTTAAACCCTGAACTCTAAACCCCAAACCCTAATAGGGTTGGAGTTTAGGGCTTAGCGCTGACCAAAATTGTTCTCAGTCTGACCGGGTCCGCAGATCGTACCTTTAGACCTCGTCGCGAAGATCGATGAGACGGCCGCCTTCCTGCTATGAGCTAAGGCAAAGCAATGCTTAGCTCAGCTGTCATCCCAAGCTGTCTATGGAGCCACTGCTATACTGTTACTATTACGTAGAACTTTTTCTATTCATATTATTAATAACAGTAGTAGCAATCGTAGTATTGGTAATAGTAATAATACCATTAAACCCTAAAGCCTAACTTGGAGAAAAGGTGCGGAGGGTCATAAAAAAGGCTTCCCAACTCACCTTTCAGACGAAGCCATGCTCCGTTGCGCCACCCAGGTGTGCGCAGAAGTGGGGTGAGCTCGATTGGCCACACCGGGCATGTTTTTGATGCATGGTAAAACATAGTAAAGTGTAGTATATGGTATTGCCTTAGATAGTAGAAGTCAGTATAATCTAGTTTTGTTACAGTATGATATAGTATAAAGTACCTTTTTTGCTTCTGCTTACCTTTGCTGCTGGCAGTTGACCGGAAATGCCGCTTGAAACAACCTTTGGAACTGGACCGAACCCAAAAACCGCCATCATGTGGCTAATCAATGGAGGTGAGGCAATTGCAGAAGTATTCATGCTAGTTGCATGTTACAACTCAAAGCACAGGAAGGAGGTACACGCCGACATGTGTTGGGTTCGGTGCTCCTCTCTCCAGGCCATCTCCGTTTGGTCGAGCTGCATACGCTGAAGAGGCGCTGAACCTCTTACCAGTGCAGCTGACAAAATGTTTTCTGAAGTGGATGAACACCACTACACAATTCGCCTTTCAGAGAAGTTAAGCCAAGAGTACTGTCCCTTGGTGTGTGAGACCTGCAAGGCCCTGATCCGAGACCTGGATGGGCCAGTGGCTTAAGCTGGAGCTGATGTGAGGTTCAGCTGTTATCAGCTTCTGCTTCTCCAAACAGTCAGGACCAAAGGTCTGGAAAATCAATTCGGGCTTCCAAAAATCAATGGCCCATTGTAGGGAGTCCCCACAACAAGGATTACAGTATATTGAGGTCTATATGGGGCCCCCTCCTTCATGGAAGCTACCAAACGGTTCAGTTTCATTGGGAACTTCTGCGCCTGAGCTCAGCTTGCGTTGATAAAAGGAAGACTGGTGCCTCCCTGAAGCTTACGATCCTCAACGACAAGGGCCGCGCGCGGGGCCAAGGGCTGGGAGTAACCTGGAAAACGTAATACTTACTGACGGTTAGTAGGGAATAAGGGAATGCTTATATAGGGGTTTTACAGGGATTCTATTCCCGTACGCCCTATTATCTGCCAGTAGGTATAAGTATGTAGCAGGTGAGCTTGCTGCACAGAAGCAGTGCAAGGCAGTTGGGGCAGCAGTAGAAGCGTGCAGGCTCTGAACAAAGTTCCACATGGCAAGTTGCTTTTGCATGAAGTTTTAAGGGAAATTAGCAGTTTCTTCATCACCAAAAGCCGTTCGGAAAAGCAGTCGGACATAGCATTTCCCAGGCTTCAATCCACTCTCTGGGCTCCAAGCTAGAAATTTCTCCAACATGGAAGTCTCTCAATGAAATACCAAAAGATTCCCAAGACCCCCATAGTCCCCTCATGACCCCTGTATATCCCTTGGGTCCCTCGAGGCTC